TGTCCTTTTGTGTCTAGCTTATGTCACGTAGCATAATGTCTTCAAGGTTCATCCACAATGCAGTGTGTGTCAGAACTCCTTTTATTTTTAAGGCCGAATAATATTCCATTGTGTGTAGGCACCACATTTTCTTTATCCATTCAGTGGTTAATAGACACTTGGCTGCTCTCACCTTTTGGCTATTGTGAATAATGTTGCTGTGAATGAACATGGGTGTACAAGTATCTGTTTGAGTTCCTGCTTTAAATCCTTTTGGGTATCTACCCAGAAGTGAGATTGCTGGATCATGTACTTCTATGTCTCATTTTTGAGGAACTGCCATTCTGTTTTCCACAGCTGCTGCTCTACTTTTACTCTCTTCCTACGCTCCTCTGTCAGCTTCCACATTAGCCAGCATATCAGCCATCACACTTAAAAACACAGGGCTAAACTCACTGCACCCAACCCAAGAAGTGCAGATCAATCTGGAAGAAACGCAACAGGGTGTGCTATTTTGACCTGGTTTTGACCTGGCCCATTTCAACGTTTATATTAGAAATTCCAGTAAGGATGTGTAGATCTGCTAATCAAATATAGAGATGTTTTGAGAGATCTGGCATACACAGAGCAAAGATTTCAAAATATTTTGACAGGTAAGAGTGATGGAGCTATAAAATTAGCCTCTATTCATTCAGTACCTTGATGACCAAGCATTGTGCTAAGTTCATTTCCTTTACATATCATTTGTCATAGCTCTATGAGATCAGAAACACTGACCCACTTTACAGATGAGGAAACTGAGACTCAGTGAAGCTAAGTAATGTACCCACCCTGAGCTTCCAATCAAAGGAATTTGACCCTAAAGTTCATACTCTTTCTACCACATTATGCTTATCTCCTACTCAGTTATGTCAACAAAATGAGCATGAAAGGGATTAATGACTTTGATATGATTGATATTCAAGTTGAAGGAGACCTGGCTTGTTAACGTTCATGACATCAAGGCCTTGGAATTTTTGCTGGACTTAAAGGACAGTGATGTGACTCCCAAAAGAGCCCACATTTCTTGGGCTCCAGCAGTAGGTGGATAGTGACTAAATTGAAGGAGCCAGCTCCCCTACAGTGCACCCACCAGCCAGTGACATCTAGACAATGTATTGGTTCCAGATACCAGACTTTTAAAAACACCTTTCTTGAGGCATCATTGACATACAATAAACTGCACATACAAGTATACAGTTTGATGAGTTTTGACACATCACCATCACTCCACACAATTTCCTGTGCCCTCTGTAATGCTTCTCTTGTTCCTCCCTGCCTCCATATCTTCAAGCAATCACCAAGGTGCTTTCTGTCACTATCAATTAGTTTTCATTTTTTAGAATTTCATGTACATGAATCACCCAGCGCTGACTCTTGTTATTTAAATTTCTGTGTTGTTTTAGAAGATGCACTAGAGCCAGAGGGAAAGACAATGGGGAAACAGACCTTGCTTCATGCAAAGACCTCTGAGACAGCCTCTCAAACGCAGAATGGGCTTTTGGGGAAGTGAGATCTCTGCCATTAGGAGTGTTCAGGCAGCGGGATTTGGAGGAGTCCCCTCTCAGTAATAGTTGGTTCAACTCCGTTCATGCTGGTTGAGAGCCTACTATGCATTGTGCTGGGATGGGGCAACAGGATGCAACAGCAGATGTTTTCAGGCTTTTGCCTAAATGATATCATGTGATTAGGGCTCTGGGAAAGCTCTGTGCGAGGGTGATGGGAGGCAGAGGGAGATGGAGCTTCCCAGAGGAAGTGACATTGACCTGGGTCTCAGAAGTGCAGAAGGACGCTGTGAAAGAATTCCTAAACTGGGTGAGAATTTGGGCTAAATAACCTTCCCGTTTCTAAGTTGCTAAAATTAAGCTGCATTTTTTGAAAACCTGAAAGTCCATCAGTAGGGGCCTGGCAATATAAACTGAGGTCCATTCTTAGAATGGAAAAATATTCAGCTGAAATGCAATCTGTGGCATTCCTTACATATTGATACAGAATGATTTTCAACATATATTAGGTGAAAAAAGCAAGGGCTAGACACTGTGTATGGTGAGCTACCATTCGAATTTTTTAAAGGGGTCTGGTGAGTAGAAACACACACATGTGCACATGGACACACACAAATGCATGTACTCACACACACTTTCACTTGCATAATACTCCATTTATTTCTAGCTTAGTGACATAGGTTGCCTTTCAGAGGGGAAGTGGCTGAGAGTCAAGTGTGGGAAAGAAACTGTCTGATATACCCTTCTATTCCCTTAGAATTTTAACTGTGTAAATGAATTTTGCCTATTAAAAATGAAATTAAAATAAAACTAAAAACATCAAAGGGGCTGCCTAGTTCCACCTGGCTTCCTAAAGTGCCCACCTTAGCTTTTTCCTCTGTCCACCTCCCTCCACTGAACCAGGTTTGTTGGTGATCCTTCACCTCAGAGGAGGCCCCCCCAGAGGTGAAGGCGACTTCTATTTCCTTTCTTCTGATCTCCCCAAGGCATGCAGCATGTAGACCAATGTTTCCCAAACAATAATGTTCATCAATATAATCAGCTTCTTGGTATCTTGTAAAAATTCAGGTTCTGATTCAGTAGTATAGGGTGAGTCCTGAGATTCTGCCTTTCCAACCAGATCCCAAGTGAGGCCAGTGCGCTAGTCTCGGACCACAGTTGGAGTAGGACAGGTCTAGAGCTCTGAGCGCTCCATGATGAGGCTCAGGGGCTAAGCATCAACAGGTCTTGAGAAACTTCCCTGCACTGAAGAGGAGGAGATGGGGTCGGAGAGTGAGGCATGACCGTCCCTGGTCTGTTTGGAGCCTGTCAGCACTGCCAAGAGAGTGGAGACCACTGACCATTGCCCCTGGTTTCCACTGCCACCTACCACCGTTCTGCCTGGATCAGACTGCCTCTTCCAACTGCCTCCACTGAAAGGAGGCCCAGATGGAGTCGGTTGGACGGGAAGATGTGTGGGGTTATAGCACTGTGCACTGTACAATGTCAGCTGGCTTGCTCTTCACCAGCCCGAGAAATGCCTTTCTTATTTCTGATGGGCTAATGGTGGCTGCAGGACACCCCCTCTCTCATGCCTGTCCTAAAAATTCAGAAGCCAAACCAAACCTCCTACAGAAAATGAAACCAGTGTTTGGTTCAGCCTCTCTCCCTGGGTGAATAGCAGACGTCTTGGATGCAGGTGTAGTAGGACCACCTGCTCTGGCAGAAAGCTCACGGGCCTGCAGGGGAGGTCTCCTCACTCACCCAGAATCAGAACTGACCTGGAAACACCTCCACTACACCCCTTGCTCCAGGGACAGGGTAGTTTTCCAGGCCACACATCTGGATTTCCCTGATGAAGCATTTTTCTTTATGACAAAAAGCAGCCCTTGCCCACTGCCAGAAAGAAGTGAGTGTGGTGTGAGTTCTAGAGGGAAACCAACAGGCACACCACTCAGGGCGGACACCACCCCGGCTAGAGCAGCCCTGCCCACCCCCGGGACCACTGGAGGTGTACCAGGAAAGCAGGAAAGGTGCCCCACACAGACATCATCCCCACCCACCTGTGACCGCACCTGAAATTGCGCTATGCACATTTCATTCTTTTGGGATGAGAAACTGCATCTCTTAAAATGCTCCCACTCACAGAAGAGGTAATACACTAAGCTGTCATCATTCATCTACACCTTCATTTGAATTAGTTGATCAGTCCTGGAATGTTACACCTTGAATGGGCCTAGTCCAATCCCTCTTTTTCCTAGTGAGGAGAACCTAAGCACAGAGCAGAGGTGACTGACTCAAGGTCAGGCAGCAAGGTGGTGGCCAAGTCAAGTGCAGAAAGAGGCATAAGGGATGGCTTGTACACAGGTGACTGGGGCTATGAGGGAAACTCCAACATAATTGAGATGAGCAGGGGGCATCTTCAAGCTTGCACTTTATAGATTAATTCAGAGCTATACCAAGTTTATCCCCCAAGAGAAGGTAGGGGGCAGAACCAAAAAGCAACACCCCACCCCACCCCACCCTACCCTACCCCACCGCTGAGCATAAAATGTCTTTGAAGTCTCTGGTTTTACCTTAAAGTTCATTCAGATGCAATGTTCTACTCTTAAATATATTCTGGTTAGTTTCCACATAAAAATAATGTAATTTATTTAGCCAGATACCATTTTTCACTTACAAGATAGGCTGAGATCAAAGTTTGTGTTTTCTGGGGAGGGGATGTGGGTGGCTGGGACGGGGTTAGGAGACTTCTCACTGTATGCCCCTTTAAAATTTTGTGCTGTCTGTAAATACTACCCAGTCAAAATGTGGATAAAATTTAACTTAAAAATATGGGTAGGTCGGGGTATGGAGGAACAGGCCCTCTTTTTTCTGATGGGAGAGAATGCAAACCAAAACATTTTCATGTTGGACAATTGTGGTATTTATCCAAATGTTGAATACACACACCTTTCACCTAATACTGTCTGGTCTAGGCATCCAGCCCACACCAGGGGAAAGGACACCCACCCATACTCACGGCTACATTACCAACCCTGAGAGGCTGGCCTGAGCATCTAGCTGTCTTCCAAGACTTTGCTGAGTCTAAGCAAAGACCAGGAGCTAGATTTCTGCTTTCCAGTCTGGTGATCTTCTTATACCACCTCTTGAAGAATCATTCAACATGTAATAGTAAAATAGTAACAGTGGATGGCTACAGAATGCTGGCTTGTGCCTGGCTCTGCTACCTAGACTAAACCTCAGGTCTCACATCCACTCATGAACTAGTTATGGTTCATGATAGAATGTGAGATACATGAGGACACTAGGGCATGTTACTGCTAACCTTGTTCACATGCTCACTAACCCAGCAAGTGGCAGAGAGCAGATTTGTACTAGAGGCCATACAACAGCACAGGCATACATACGTATTAGCCACCATTTATTAAGCAATGTTTAGGTGCTGAGCCACCGTGCTGGTCCCTCTGTGGTGTTTTATAAGGTCATCTCCATTGGTCCAGTGTTGAGTGCAGGAGGTGGTGGGAGTGGGGGGTGTCACCGAGGGAACTGAAGAAGAAAACTGAAGACACTGTCTCCCTGCCCTTAAGAAGCTGACAATATGTGCAAGAAGGTGACAATAATCCTTACCTTTGAGCAACACTTGACAGTTTTCAAAGCCCTTTAATTATCTCATTTAATCTTCTTGACAGTCCTGCCAGATAATTTTCATGATCTCTGCTCCAGGATGAGGAAACCAAAGCATTCCAAGTCACGCGGGGCTACCCCAAGATCACCCAACCAGCCCGCAGAGGGGCAGGCACCTGACCTCAGGTCTCGGGATGCCCTCTCTGCGAAAGGGGAATGACGGGCTGCCTCCACGGCCCAGCTCAGAGCTTGCCGACCTGCTCCAACACAAGACTTCCTTTTTCCCTTTGGAAACTGTTGCAATCCTTCAGGTGAGAGGAGTTGTTATTTTGGGTTTTAGTCAACTGGGGAAATTCATGGTGGAAAAACAACCAGAAAAGGTTGATTCTAGACATCCAAGAGCATTTGAGCAGTTGGGGTGAGAAGCAGACCAGAAATGGAGAGGGTACTCTCAAGGGGAGACAAGCAAGCCAAACTCCTTATCAGATGTGTTTTGTAATTCAGAGTTTTTTGGATTTTAGAAAGACAACACAGCGTCTGTGCCACATATTTTGTAATGCCCCTAGAGGGATGTGGACAGTGTCCTATAGTCAAACATATTAAATATTTCTGCAAAGAAGTCTATGAATCATCATACTAGGTAGGACTAAAGAAAAACTGTGAATAGCCTTGCATTAGTTCAGGACAAGTTTTGTTGCCCAGTGCATTCTGTTTTCAGAGATTTTAGTTTTCCAAAGTTGTGGATAAGGGATTGGGACTTAAAATTAAGTAGGTGCTGTTTTTGGCCAGCTTACTATGTGCTGGGCATTATCTTGTTAATCTTATATCAACACTATGAGGTTACTATCCTCAATTAATAGTCAAGAAAATTGAAGCTCAAAGATACTAAGTAATTTGCCCAAGATCACTCAGCTGTTCAGTGACACGGCTGGGCCTGGATCCTCAGTCCTGAGACTCCAAAGCCAGGGCTGAGAGAGAGAAGCCCATTCTGCCAACCTCACAATTTTGTTTAGGTCGCCACTCTTCAGTAATGAAGTTACCCTTTGAGAAATAAAGAGAACAGTGACATTCAAGGTGGTGGTAGTGGCCATCCCCCATACCATACCGTTCCCCTGTGTTCCTACATCCAAGCCCAACAGAACAGGCAACCACTCAACACCCTGGCCCACAGAGGAGGCCTCCATGTCTGGTGATTCTGTACTTACCTTTCCAGAATCTACTCAAGGCTGTCACTCACTGACATTCTAGCTGAGGCCTGGGTGCACATCCCAGCTCTGCAGCAACCCTGTAAGACATGAACCTCTCAGGGCCTTAGTTCCTTCGCCTGTAAAGTGGAAGTAGTAACAGTACTTGCCTTAGTGCTGCTTAAGGATTAAGTGAATGAAAATATGTTAAATACTGAGAACAGAACTGTCCTTGACTGAACACTTGATTACTATTCCTATGAAGAAAGCTTCTCTGCCCCCAACCAGTGTCTCTTCTCTCCCTTTCACACTTGACTATCTGAGCTCATCCACCATTTTTCCCACTTAGTTGTCTATATATCTGTTCCCTGATATTCAACTGAACACCTGAAGCATCACAGATATTCATTAAGTGCTGAATGAATGAATAAATGAAAGGAGGAAGGGGGGGAAGGAAAAGGGTTCTGCCTGCAAAAGCTTATAATTTCACTATGATAAAATCATCAAGGTGAGAAGAAACTATATGTGCCTTATCTTCTGTGAGCATATCATAAAATCCTACTTCCTGCAAAACTATGGGGAATGAGGTTTGCAAATATTACATAAGTTGTGAGCCCAGCCTCCATGGAGTTGACAGTCAATGTGGGGCAATGGGACATGCCCATGTGAACAACAGCTGCAAAAGAGTTGTGGTACTTGCCAGCCTAGGGACAATCAGTGCCACTGGAAGGCCAGAGCCGGGGGAGGGCAAAACAACATGGGATGAGTCACAAATGTGTGTGTCATCCTAGCTCAAGGTAAAATAGGATCATTGGGTAACAATAGGAACAATGTCACAAGGCAGGATGAACCAAGTGCATGCTTCTGAGTGATGGGCACAAGCTGGGGTGTGGGGTTCAGAGGAGGAAGGGAAAGAGAAGGACGGCTTTCTGCTGGTGGTCAGGGCAGGCCTGGTGAGACAGTGGGATCTGAGTTCACAGTCAGGGCCCCTCCAGAGCTTATACTGGCTTAGAAACCCCAGCTTTCAGAGTTAGCCTCTGTCTCCCCTGCACTGATCTCTCACTAGACTGCGAGCTTTTCTAGGTCTGAGTTTCTGAAAATTTATTATTATACAAATAACACGTTTTCATCGAAAATAAGAAGAAGAGGAGGAAAAGAGGAAAAAGGGGGAAATACAGAGAATCAGAGAGAAAAAATGGCCTATAATCCCATGTCCCCCCCAAATCACTTAATATTTTGGTGCCTGCCCACCCACCTACCCTTTTCCCCATCCCTCACACACCCTTACACCCACCCAGTCATCCATCCTTTATGTACCCACCCACCCTTTGACCTACCAAGCCATCCACTTACTCATCCATCCATCCATCCATCCATCCATCCATCCATCCATCCATCCATCCATCCATCCATCCATCCATCTTACTTTCACTGTAAGTTGTTAGTTGCAAACAGAATCCACTTTAACAGAAAAGGAACCTATTAAAAAAATATTGAGGCTCCAAAGAAAACAAAATCCTTGATTCAAAAAGACATATACACCCTGTGTTTATCACTGCACTGTTTGCAATACCCAAGATATGGAAGCAACCTAAGTGTCCATCAATAGATGAATGGATAAAGAAGATGTGGTGCATATAGACAAATATTATTCAGCCATAAAAAGAAAAGAAATCCTTCCATTTATCACAACATGGATGAACCTAGAGGGTATTATGCTCAGTGAAATAAGCCAGGCAGAAAAAGACAAATACCATATGATTTCACTTATTTATGACGACTGTGATGTACATTTCTTTCTTTTTTTGGTATCATTAATATACACTTACATGAGCAACATTATGGTTACTAGACTCCCCCCATTATCAAGTCCCCACCACATACCCCATTACAGTCACTGTCCATCAGCATAGTAAGATGCTATAGAATCACTACTTGTCTTCTCTGTGCTATACTGCCTTCCCCGTGCACCCCCAACATTATGTGTGCTAATCATACTGCCCCTTTTTCTCCTTATCCCTCCCCAGTCCTTTCCCTTTGGTAACTGTTAGTCCATTCTTGGGTTCTGTGATTCTACTGCTGTTTTGTTCCTTCAGTTTTTGCTTTGTTTTTATATTCCACATACGAGTGAAATCATTTGGTACTTGTCTTTCTCCGCCTGGCTTATTTCACTGAGCATAATACCCTGTTGCTCCATCCATGTTGTTGCAAATGGTAGGATTTGTTTTCTTTTTATGGCTGAATAATATTCCATTGTCTATATGTACCACATCTTCTTTATTCATCACCTGATGGACACTTTGGTTGCTTCCATTTCTTGGCTATTGTAAATAGTGCTGCAATAAACATAGGGGTGCATATGTCTTTTTCAAACTGGGCTCCTGCATTCTTAGGGTAAATTCCTAGGAGTGGAATTCCTGGGTCAAATGGTACTTCTATTTTTAGTTTTTTGAGGAGCATCCATACTGCTTTCCACAATGGTTGAACTAATTTACATTCCCACCAGCAGTGTAGGAGGGTTCCCCTTTCTCCACATCCTCGCCAACATTTGTTGTTGTTTGTCTTTTGGATGTTGGCCATCCTAACTGGTGTGAGGTGGTTTTAATTTGCATTTCTCTGATGATTAGCGATGTGGAGCATCTTTTCATGTGCCTGTTGGCCATCTGAATTTCTTCTTTGGAGAGGTATCTGTTCAGCTCCTCTGCCCATTTTTTAATTGGATCATTTGCTTTTTGTTTGTTGAAGTGCATGAGCTCTTTGTATATTTTGGATGTCAACCCCTTATTGGATATGTCCACCATGACATACATTTGATAATAAGAAAAAAGATATTAAGAGGTTCACAGAATCCAGGAGGACAGGCACAGAGGCTCAGTATTCAGCGAAGATGCCTAGACCACTCAGAGGTACTTTTCCAGCCAAGCCATCACAGCAGCTGTCAATCAGCACAAATTCTGCAACTTCCCTCACTTATCCCCCCAACAATGGTGGAAATTGGATGCGAGAACATTCCTTCTGTCACTCTAAAGGCCAGATGCCTCCTCCAGACCCTTTCCCCAGGAAGTCTACTTCCTTAATTGCTCACTTTCAAATCATAATCTCATGTGGGTACATCTGATCAGTGGAACCAAAGTCACATGCCTACACCTTAATTGCAAGGGAGTCTGGGAAAGCACATTTCTGGCCTTTATTTTGAAGAAGTGGGGTTTATGATGTGTGGAAAACACACAACCACAGGAAAGTTTATCAAAAGGTCCTGGTGACCATAGGCATGACAAATGTCCCCCTACGCTATGCATTGTTTTTCTCCTTACAAATATAAAATACCAATTTAATCATATTCTGGATCTCCAATGCCTTGATCACAGTAGGCACTTAATACATGAGGAAGGAAAGGGAGAAAGAAGAGGGAGAGATTACACATGGGTATGTTACCTTACTGAGACCGGCTAAGAGACTTTATGTTTGAGTCCATAAGATTCTCCAAGGCTTCTTGTGGCTTTTGAAGGAAGGGGGCCCCCTAGCCAGCACAGCAGCACAAAGCTGCCCACCCCCACCCAGACACCAGCTCACATAAGGGCTCTCCCTGTGGCCTGCAGTCCACGGGTCCCATGGAATGCTGTGTCCTGAGTAGTCCCTCACTTTCTCCCTAGCCTACTTATTGGCTTCATGTCACTCAGGCTGTCACTGAGTCTCCTTCCCTCCCCAGTCCTAGTTTTAGAGGGTTTTAGTAGTCTCTGAAGGCCTGTCTTCAAATAGTTGTTGCAAAGTCAACATTTAGGCTTCCCAGGGTGATAAAGATCACGGGCACTAAATTCAAGCGGATCTGTTCGAATCCGTCTAGTTCTTCATGGTCAAGGTGCACCGTCACAGAATTAGGTGGGCCTGGCATTGAGAAATTTATGCTGTAGTTTAACTGGTAAGAGGCCAGAAACACACAAATGACAAGGAGCCCTCTTGTTGCCCTGTGAGGTAGGAAAAAGTCCCTGCTCCCGGGGTTCAGGGACAACCAGGTCAGCATCGGCTGGGCGAGATGAGGGAAGGCTGCTGAGAAGGAGGTGTTGGGGAATGAGTAGGTGGTGTACTCGCTGGGGAGCCGCAGCAAACCTGTAGCAGTTTCTAAACCCTCCAAAGCAGGTCAGATCCGGTACCTCAATTCCTACAGTATCACATGCTACTCCTTACGACTGGACTTCATTTTGGTGGTTATCTGATCGATGCCTGCCCCTCCATTCCAAAGGGAGCTGGCCACTGTGCCCTAGGAAGGTCCTGGGTGGGCGGAGACGGGCGAAGACCAGGTCTGGGCGAGGCTGCAGAAAGGGCGCGTCTGAGACCCGTCACAAAGACGGTCTGCAGCCCGCCCCCACCCCCTTTCCCAAGGGAGGAGCAGCTGATGTGTTTCTGGAGTGTTCCAACCCAATTAGCGCCCTCCCTTGCTCCAAGGAGGAGCCCAGGCCACCACTCCCTTCCCTGAGGTGGAGACTGGGTGGGGAGGGGTGCCGAGGAGGTCTGAACACCCCGACCCAGCAACTCCCGGCAGCTCGGCAGGCTCGCCGCTACTGAGCGGCTGCTATGACAGCGCCCGTCTCTAGGCGACTGTTCTGGGGAATGGTCTGATTTGGCAACCAGAGGGCCCCTGGGTAAAGGGGGCCTCGGGCTGCCGCGTCATTTGCATAGCAACGTCCTCCCCTCCCCAATCTGCGCGCTGCTCTGCGGCAGCCCAGAGGCCAGGTGGCTCCAGCCCCTGCCCTCCGCCCTGCCCAGCCCAGTCCCTGTCCCAGGCCCACTCCGGGTTGTCACCGCCTTACTGCCCCAGTCTTACCTCTCGGGGAGGTGGAGGCTGCTCGCTGAGCCAGGGCATTTCCGGGAAGGCCGGTGCCCTAGGGAAGTGGGGAAATGATGCTTGGGGACAAAATACAGAAATGGGGGATGGGGGGATGAAATACAATCTTTTTCAAACCAAAGTCAGTCACATGTCTTGGTAGCATCAAAATGCCTTCTGGATAACTGGTTGGCTCACAAAATGTTTACTTAGGTGAACCTCAGCTAAGCCCTAGGAGGTACTCAGAAAATGTCTTTTGGATCATTAACTTGCAAGTGTATGTGTGAATCTGGGAATAGGTAGGCCTGGAAAAAATATTCTTACCAAGAAAAATCAAGCAGTGATATTAGGAAATATTTTCAAATAACTTGCAGGAAGGACTTGGTCTGCATTTCAGAAGAAACCGAAAGAGAAAATAAGTAAATAGATAACTCCTTAAAGGCCCCTTTTGTCCTATACATGCCCACCCCACCCCAACCACAACCTCCATCTCCTGTCCATGATGCCAACTGAGATACCAGGCTCTGAACCCGCAGCATGACATTAACTGCCCAAGGACACACGCCCTGGGCTGGAACCTGAGAAGGGGGTTGGGCAGGGGCAGGTCACCCCAGCTGAGCGATCACATTCCCTGGCAGCTGTCCAAGGGGCAGCTCCAGCTGCACCTGTTTGTGGGGAGATTTGCTTTTATCAGTATTGACACAGCAGCAGGGCCAGGGAATAGCATAGTAATAAATGAGAGGGAGAGAAGGAGAGAGAGAAAAGGCTGGAGCCAACAAGGCGAGGCAAAAATGCTGAGGTCTTTTTTTGCTTGTTGTATGTCAGCGCGTTCAATCCAGTTTCCCCACCCCTGAAATCTCTGAGGATCATGCAGCAGCCTTGGCATGGGAGCTCTGGGTCTTAAAGAGATAGAATTGCAGAGTCAGAAGCACCTTAAGGTCCTTTTGTGCCAGGCGTCCCTAACCAACATTTCTCAAGGTTACTAGATGTCCTCACCTGCCACTTAGGGTTAGTCAGGAATCTCAGCAGCAGGAAGGGAGTTCCTCCTTCTCTCTGCCAAGTTTCCGCATCAGGGAGACAGTATGATTAAAGTGTAGGTTTTGAAGTCAGTCAAACATAGAATCAAATCCTAGCTGTCTGTGTGATTTGGAATATGTTAACTAACCACTCTGAGCCTCAGTTCTTCCCCAGAAATGGAACAAAACAATACTCTCTATTGTTGCAAGGATGCAAGAGACAATATAAGCAAAGGCAAGAATAATTCTTCAGTATATGCTCACTTGGATTCTACTACTGCCTATCAACATTTCCTCGGGGTTTCATTCGATGCTTTGGAGAAAATACCAAAAATAAAAAGGAAAAAAACAAAATATAACAACAAAAATCCTGGGGGAATTGATCTGTTCCAGAAATACGAACGAGGAAGCAGGAGCCTTTCACTAACACAATCTGTATCCCCGAAACAGGGCCAAATGTGGTCTCTTGGTTTCTCAAGCCTTGCATTTAGTCTTCAGGGGCTGCAAACTCACCCCCATTCTAGTCTAAGACAGGGCAGTAAGTGGGCTACAAACAAACCTGGGCATCAGAAGCAACCTGACCAAGGCCAGAGATAAACTATACTTGTAAAACTTACTTGCAATTAGTCGCCACCATGTTTCAGATATGGAGGTCATTTCTCCGTGGGGCAGGGTAGGTGGGGTGGATGCCACACTGCTGTCTAACCCCAGCCCTGACATTTGTTACTCATGTGCCTGTGACAGGTTATTTCATCTCCATAAGCCTGACTTTCCTTATTTGTAAAATGGGCATAATAATGCCCCCTAAGCTTGTCGTGAGTGTGTAATACATGTAGTGAGTGCCTGACAGAGGAAGTGCTTCATCACATCAGCACTTATAGTCCTTGCTGTTAGATGACTGAGGCCAAGGGACTATCATGTTCATCCCGTAACCCCATTTTCTCAGACAAGGCCTGGCATCTGGTAGACTACACTAATGCTTCATGAATGAATGAACAGCAAGGCTCCTGCACTCGAGAAGTTAAATCTACCCGGGAAATATAAGCCATAAACTGCCTATGCCACTTACACAGAGGAGTCAGCAGAGGGTTAAAAGCCATTCTGCCAGTCCCCAAGCTCCAGAGGCAGACAGTCCCTTTGATCCCTTAGTTTCATCCATCCAGGATGCTTTCAAGAGAGGAAAACAGGAAGTCCCTGATAGCCCAGCTTGCTCTGTGTGTCTCTGTGTGTGTTGTGCCTGTGACAGGTTATTTCATCTCCATAAGCCTGACTTTCCTTATTTGTAAAATGGGCATAATAATGCCCCCTAAGCTTGTCGTGAGTGTGTAATACATGTAGTGAGTGCCTGACAGAGGAAGTGCTTCATCACATCAGCACTTATAGTCCTTGCTGTTAGATGACTGAGGCCAAGGGACTATCATGTTCATCCCGTAACCCCATTTTCTCAGACAAGGCCTGGCATCTGGTAGACTACACTAATGCTTCATGAATGAATGAACAGCAAGGCTCCTGCACTCGAGAAGTTAAATCTACCCGGGAAATATAAGCCATAAACTGCCTATGCCACTTACACAGAGGAGTCAGCAGAGGGTTAAAAGCCATTCTGCCAGTCCCCAAGCTCCAGAGGCAGACAGTCCCTTTGATCCCTTAGTTTCATCCATCCAGGATGCTTTCAAGAGAGGAAAACAGGAAGTCCCTGATAGCCCAGCTTGCTCTGTGTGTCTCTGTGTGTGTTTGTGTGTGTGTGTGTGTGTGTGTGTGTGTGTGTGTGTGTGTGTGTTTAATGATAGGGGGTGGGGGAAGAATGGTCCTTTGGGTCACATTTTGCCAGTAAATCAGCCTCCTTCCTTTCAAATGCTGGGGCTTCCAAAGGGACAGATAAATAGCTTCTTGCTCAATGCTGGGAGAAAGATGTGGTCCAAAAATGGCAAAGCTGACAGGATGGGGCTCCTTAGTGGACCACATTACAGTTACTAGGTGGCTGGTGTTTCTAGAGCATGTGGTCTTTCACATTCACTCACTCACTGTTGACAAAGTGCCTGGCCTTGGGCTGGACCCTAGGGTGTGGTCCAGTGTCTAATGTCTAGGATATGAACAGACCAAAAAGACAACAGACAATGAGCTCAGAGAAGATGGCCTGAACACAGAAAGTGAGAACGCTCCCAAGGGGAGAAAGAGCAGAGTTGTGAGGAAGCAGTGGTAGGAAAGAAAGAAGGGAGAACAAAAGGAAAAAACCCAAAGAATACCTATATAGGAAAAAGAAGAGAGAGCCTCTAAGAATTTGCAGCCATGTTAGTTAAGGTCTCACAATAGAATAACTGGACACCAAGTACATGCAAGAGAAGGTCATAACCTCCAGGACACGCAGGATAACAGGAATGCACAGAGGCAGGACAGAGAATAGGAGTTTGGGACTGCAGATCTGACTCTGACTTAGCCAGCCCCAGAAAGAGCATTTGCTAGACCTCAATGAAGCTAAACTCACATTTATGTTTCAACTCATTATTTAGTAAGTTCAGTTATACATTTGCCCTTGGTGGACACCAGAGAACATTTAGGAAGGTGGAAACATTTTATATTGTAATAGAAGTATAGTGCACAAGAGTGAACCCATTAGTCAATATTACAGTTAAGATTTCTGCAGTGCAATGTTTGTAAATTTCACCTAAAAACAGCTGTACAAAATAACCATTAAGTGGGAGGGGGTAGAGGTACAGATGAAACAAGACAGACAGAATGTTGATGATTATAGCCACCAGGCTAGGCAAAGAAGGATACGGTGCGTTGTGTTTTGTTGATGCTGAACTTGCTTGAAATTTTTCATAATAAAAACATTTTTAAAAATTGCCCATAATGTGTCACGGTTGTCCTCAAGCCAGTCCCCTTTAGGTTATCAGGAAGGCAGCTGAGATGTTATCTAATCCAGTCTTCCTGTTATAGATGAGGAAATGGAGGTGCACCTTGACTTGTTCAAGGTGTTCTCAGATATCCAGTGGCAGAGCTGACGCCAGAATCTCAGGCCCTGAGCAGTGCCCTTTTGACCTTTTCAACTCTCACCCACTTGTGGGAAGGCAGCAGGAATTCACCCCTTAGGCTGGATTGCCTTCCCAACCCCCCAGGCCCAGGTGTTGATGTGCAGCAGGCTCTGTGGGCTGGAGGGGGTCTGGGCTGAAAACCACTTGACTCTCCTCTGCATGCTGAAAGGTAATCCTGAGTTTGCAGAGATTCATTAGGTCCTGAAGCTGCCGCTTCCAAAAACAGATTTCCAGTATCTGAGAGTTGAAACTACACAGGGGCAGAGTTCCCACTCCCAGCTAACACAGGTGTTGCCTTAGGACAGTCGATGCGCTCTTGCTTGGTTTCTTCTCATTTGGGTTCTGTCTTCTTGCAGGACCCTCAGGAGGATCTCAAGAGGTGCGGGTGGGAAAGCGCTCTGAAAAGTACAAAGAGCTGTGGTGTGATGGCATTATTGCAGAAGACGAAAGGGCAGGAAAGCAAGGAGACTTCTACAGGATTCTTAAATACCCTTTTGTGGTTCTCCTGTCTTAGAGAAAAAGATCTGGGCTGGGGGCAAGGGGAAATCTATCACATTTATTGATGTCTTGCACTATGCCAGATGCTATGTTTTGCTCTCTCTGATATCTCCTCTTCTCCTCCCGAACACCATGTAGGACTGAGGTATTATTATTTTGCTCATTTTGCAGATGAGGAAAGAGGCACAGAGACCTTTAAACAACCTGCCTGAGGCTATACAGCTGGTCTGAGCAGAGCTGGCACTCAAAGCCAGGCAGTCCAGGAGGGAAAGCTTGCCTTTACCAGAGCGCTGAGGGGGATGAGGACAGTCCGTGCCACCTGGGCATCTGATTCACCCTCAGGAGACCTCCACTGAGTTCCAGCTCAGCTGCTTATGAGCCACGTGACCTGGGCCAGCCAGGTTGCCTCCTGGAGCCTCGCCATTCAGCTGCAGGGGCGGTGATAATAAAACTTGCTCCACCTACCTCTCGGGAGGATGTGCGGATTCCATGAAATCACTGATACTGCCAGTGCTTTGAAACAGCTGCATAGGGCGACAGAAATGCAGAGATCATGATTATGTCCTCAGAGCAGCATTCTTGGATTATCTCATGGAACCATTCGGGCTCTTCATCTCCCCAGCCTGCCCTCAGCTCCCCAAGTGGTGGGAGTCAGAACCTGGGCCTGTGTGTTGCTTCAAATACTGCTTTGGTGGAAAGGGGAGGCGTTACAGACTCCACCAGCTTAAGTATTCCCCAAAGAAACATACTAGAGCATTGGCTCAAGGATATATCCTAGGCCTGAATTTCTGCGAGGGCCTCTTTTTCTTGTTTGTCATAAAAGAAACAGGCTTTCAGCTACTTGGGCAGGATTTAACTAGCCATCAGCCCTAGAGATAAGTGGATCACGCTCAACAACCTCACATGGGAGTAATTTGTACCCAAGAGCAGTGTATAATTTATACTTTTGAGTCCACAGTCAGGGAGTTCAATGCAGTGACTAGAGGCACAGTCTTCCCAACTGGACAGCTCCTTCTGTCCAGGACCGAGATAACAGAAACCGGAGGCTCAGCGGTGGGCGTGAAATCATAGTTCAGTGAATGACTAGCTTATTCCTCTGAGACTGTAAAAATTTGAGGGCAGGACCTCTTTCAGTGTATCTGTTCCACATATTCCCTCACTCCCTTACCATACATACCTGAAGCACTTCACACAGCACCTTGCACAAAAGTGCAGAGAATGTTTGTGAAACGGTTGGAATTAGGGAATAGAGAATTCAGTGGTTTTACAAATTCCCTGAAGGTCAAAGCAAATCCTGGCATGTGGCTCTTCCGTGGGACCGGCACACTCGTGCCTCTCTGTTACGGCCTCCCACCCTGGAAACTCACTGCTGGCTCCTCAAGCTGCGTTCAGCTTCACCCAAGGGACTGTATTTCCAAATCCCAAACAGGGAAACAAGGCCTGACAGAATATTTGAAACCAGGGATCTGTATTCCAGAAGGATTTGTGCCATTCTGTTTATTCTTGGATTTGTTCTGTCCTCCCTCTTCATTTTGGCAGATTTTTCCCAGCCCAATTTGCCAATTTACAGCTCCCCTTACAGTGCTTAAGTGGACACCTAAATACAACCAGGGAGATCCCCTGAAGTCATCTGTCGACCTTCACGTTAACTCACCTTGTGATTTGTTGGTTCTATGCGGAAGTTTGCCCATTTCTCCATTTCCCTATTTGAATGTTCTTTCTGGAGTCCACTAGACCATGTCTACTACCTGGAGCACAGAAAAGCTGAGTGAAGAGTATGGTCAGAATTTTGCCCAAGGAAAGCACCCTAACATGCTGGGAGGGACAGCAGGAACCTGGTGCTCATTCCAATTCTGCTTCTAATGAATGATGTGTCTTGGGGAGGTCACTTTTCTCTGGGTCTCTTCTGTCAAATGGAGGGGGATGGTGGAAGGCACACACTCAAAATTCTTAATGACCTCTTGCAGCAGCCCTCAGTGAGTCATGGGACATGAGAATTTACCTACAGCCTCTGCTTTCCCTCCTGCAGTTTGGGGATAAACTCTCTGCCTCCTATCTTAGGCAAACACCTTCTCTGGCCACTAGATCCCATCCACCCCCACTAGCGATGCTCCCCGCTCTCTCCTGCATCATCTCTTTATCCCCCTTTACTCAATCATTCTCATCAACATGTAAATGTATCTAAATGCGTTACAATTTCACCCAACTTTTTAAAAGTCTGCCTTGACCCTACTTCTCCTCCAGCTTCTCTCTCAAGTTCATTTCAATCACTCCACAACTCCACCCAAACTTCACTTTGCTAAGGTTACCAGTTCCCTCCACATGGTTAAAACGAAGGGTCATCACTTGGTCTTCATCTTTCCTGACTGCTCTGCAAGGATCAGCTGATCATTTCTTCTTCCTTGAAACACTTTTATCTCTTGGCTTCCAAGATACTACATTTTCTAGGTTATTCTTCAGAGTCTCCTTTGCTAGGTTCTCCTCATCTCCTTCATCTCTAAATTGTGGAGGGTCTTAGGACTTGGTCTTTGTATCTATTGTATCTGTCTTCATTAATTCATTGATGATCTCATTCAGTCTCATGGTGTTAAATGCCGCCTGTTTTAGCCTAGTTTCCCCTAAAAACAGAACCTTAATAAAGGGTTTGCATCCAGGTAGTTTAGACAGGAATGACATTCCAGAGAGTAAAAATGAGGAACAGGGAAAGAGAAGCACAGAAGAAAGGAAAACCAGTTGAAGAATGCATTACTGAGCTGACCACCACCAGGAAGACTGATGTTTTTCTCCATAGAACCTTCGAAGGAGATTCAGAAATGTCTATCATGGGCTACAAAGGGTCTGCATTTATCTCACCACTGGTTAAGTGTGGCCGCATGAGCATCAACTCCCCCATAATTCTGGGATTACATATGGAAGTGCTGAGTGAGTTTCCCACAGGTGTCCTACAGCCACCCTTGTTCAGGAAGCAAGAAGTGCACATAGCAGGTAGAGGGGAGGCACCGTCACAGTTTGTATGCATTGCAAATCTGGCCAGTATCAACTGCATTACATCAGCTGGAGGAAGAGGTGGAGCCCAGAGGATTGAAAGTGGTGCCTAAGAGGTGTCTGATACATCATGCATATCCTGATGGCTCTCATATTTCAATCTCCAGCCTTAAACTCCAGACTCATATATCCACTGCTTATACCATACTTCCTCTTGTTTGCCTCCTCAAAACCTGCTCCTTATAGTCTTCCCCAACTTAGTGAATGGCAACCCCATCCTTCCAGATGTTCCTTCCATCCAAGGCAAAGGCCTTGGAGACATCCTTGAGTCCTCCACATACAATCCATCCATAAATCATGCTGGCTTTACCTTAAAAATATATCCAGAATCTGACCACTTCTAACATCCTCTATTCTTTGTCCAAGCCACACACCAGCCCTCATCTGGATCACTGCAATAACTTCCTATTTATTTGCTCTCCCTGCTTGCTGGCTTATCCTATTACCCTACTCTTCACCGGAAGCCAGTGACCCTTTTAAAATGTTAAGTCAGACACTTGGCCACTCCTTGACATTCCCTTTCTGCTTCCCTACTTTATACTTTCCCATCACCCTTATCACCTTCTGACATAATATAAACACCTTGTGTGTTTACTTTGTCTATAGCTATCTTCTTTTTCTAGAAGGACAGCACGGATTTATCCATTTTATCTCAAGTATCTAGAACAGTGCCTGGTGCATGGGGGGAGTACAATAAATATATCGACTAGAGACCATCTAGTTTGAGCCCCTGTACTTTACAGATGAGGAAACTGTAGCCCAGATGATATGACCATGCTAATTATACTGTGAGGTCTTCTTTTCTCTTTCTTTTTGTTTTTTTTTGCAAGGCTTTCTTGATGCTTCTAGTTCTGAATGACAGGTCTCCATTCTCAGCAACAATAATTGTTAGTTATTATTATTGATGTTGGCTGTCTAACCAGTTTGAACAGCCATTTGTAGGTGATCTCAAAGGAACCCCCAGGACGTCACTAGAGAATGATTCCAGGGCAATGGAACCACAATCACATGGTCTAAAGGGGGCAAGCAAGGAGGGAATTGCAGGTGAGGGAGTCTCTGTAGTACACGGAGGTGCCTGAAGGAGAAAGTGAGTATTTTAGGTGTGGGAGAATCAAATGTAAACGGACTAAATTACTAATCCCTAATAGATGTCATTTTATGCCCAATTCCTTGGAGTGGAATGGCAAGAGATGGGTGACTTTGGGTGTGACCTAGGTGCCTGAGTTCTGCTTGGCTATGTTTTAGCCGTGTGACTTGGGCTAGTCACTTAACGTCTCTGAACCTCGGTTTCCTTATCTGTGAAATGGGAAAGATGATACCCACCACAATGAGTTGTGAGGATCACATGAAACAACACAGAAAAGTGCTGAGGAGAGTGACAGAGACAAGCATTAAGTGGCCCTGGAGACTACACTTCTTTGACAAGAATCATAGGGCTATGTAGCAATAAGTGCCCAGGCCGGGCAGGAGAAAACTGTGACTGGCACAGAGGGTTGTACTGAAGAATGGTAAAATGCAGGGGCCAGATAATGGAGGGCACTGAAGGTCAAGCTGAAATCTTGGCACTGTGAAGTATGACGGGGTCTTGACCAAGGAACAGAGTGCCAGTGACAGAGAACAGAAAGGCCAGGAGACCAGTGGGAAGGAACAGCCTGCCATCACCCAGTCCCTCCTCAGGTCCCTGCACATCTCCCTTTGCTGCTCTTGTCCTGTGTCAGGGACCAAAACGCGCCATCCCCACTCTCAGAGCTTGGCACAAGGCTGGCAAGTAGTAGGGCTCCAGGAGTGTTTGTTCTAGTCTTTATAACCAGTAGTGACGACTAAGGCAATAATTCAAATGTGTGATGATGAAAGCCCAGTGGGGATGCTGGTAGTGAGAATGGGCAGGGTCAAATCATAGAAAAGCTGGAGGGAGAGGCAGCAATTGTGATAATTTTTTTTTACATAGAAAATCAAGAGAATGTGCAACCCAGGCTAAGAAAATATGGGTCTGAGTCCCAAGTCTGCTCCCAGCTCTGAATGCTTAGCTAATATTTAATCATTTTGTGGGCAACTGTGATGTGCATGTCAGAGATGGGGGCAGAAAGTACACAAGGTCACATATGTGAACCCAAGCTGAGCATTTAAAAACTTTGAATCCAAGCTTTCCACCCAGTGGGTGGTTGAGCCTGACTATGTCATTTGCCCTCTCTGTGGCTCAATTTTTATCTAGAAAATGGGGATAATAATGCCTGCTCTACCTTCCAGGGTTGTTAAAAAACCAAAAAGATTGTAGAGATTCAAATGATTTGGAAACTGTCCAGTGTTTTCAAAATGTAAAGTGGTGTTAGTAATATGCTTATGATTAATTTCCCCATCCTATTTAATTCAATTTTTCATTTCAGATTATGAGGACATTGGCTCTGAAGGCCCTAGCTAAGTCATTTTCCAAACACCTACATAGGTCTTGTTTTCCTTTCTCTGGGAATCATAGATCTTGGGTGACTAGGCTTTCCTGCTTTAGATGAAAGTGAAGGGTGAATAATAGTCTGCTGCATGTCTGACAGGCAGAGCAGGGAAGGAGAATGCTTAAGCCAGTGACCAGCCCTTCAACTCCAGGTGCAGACCCTGCCTCCTCAGAGATCTGCCCCCTGCTGCCCTGAGGAGCTACCATAAAGTGCCCCACTTCTCCAACAGGGAAGAACTCCAAAGATAGCCCATCTGACTAGTGAATGGAAAATAACCACATGAGGGATTAGAGCCGCGATAAGAGCGATAAGAACGACATTCTTCTGAAAGACACGGTAGCTCCAGAAGCCTAGGTTGTGCTGGACTGAAGGCATTTTGGCAACAATCATCAAAACTACAAACTCTCAGGCCCCACCCCAAACCTACTGAATCCAAATCTGCATTTAACAAGATCCCCAGGTGATTTCTGTATAGATTACAATTGTAAAGCATCCCTTAAAGGGAGGATCAAAGATGTGTGTGTGTGTGTGTGTGTGTGTGTGGGCATATCCGAGCCCTTTCAGGACCTACAGAAGGGGGTCTTGGTCCACAGACTTGGAATATCAAGGTCCCATGGACAAGGTCATCCCTACTGTGGCAATGGGTGAGTCTGGCTAGCCATCCTGATGCATTTAAGTTTTCAAGTCATCTGGCCATTCCTTGCAATAAACCTGTGCTCCCCAAACATTACTCCAGTTACTACTTGGCCTCATCTTACAGGACAAAACATTCTGGGCATATTGATGCAAAGATTCAGGTCCACCCAACAGACACTTTCCTCTTTGTTAATTAAACAGCATTAATTCTTATTTTATATATTAATAAAATAAAGTCAGATGAGGGCCCACTTCTGGACAATGATAAATTAACATGGGTGATGATGAGACAGCCTTGTCCTGAGACAACCCAGCCAGCCCGCAGGCCTTATTCCACCTAACCATTCCTCATCTCCGTCCCTCCTCCATCCCTCCTCCGTCAAATTCGAGTGATTTGACTCAGCTGTTCTCGCATCACTCACTTATCGACTTTGTATGACCAACTGGTAGTTTCCCTGAGGAAAGCCAAGGTCTGTAACTGAAAACATACGTGTTGAAAGGATCAATCGTGGGTGTGAACCTAGAAAGGAAATGCTTGCAATTAAAAGAAACCCAATTTCTTGTGTGAGGAGTAGATCACTGAGGTTTTGATACTGAAAAAACAGGAAGCAAATTAAACG